AGTCTATGGTTTTAACTCCCGTTTGTATCCAGCCTCTAGCGGCCAGTTGATGAATTACCGTTTAAGTCACTTCCTTGTTGGCTTCACAAGAGAGAGCGGGAGGTTGCCGCTTGGTTAGCACATGCAAAAGTTGCACGGCTGCTTAATAAATTCGCTCCTCAGTGTTATATTTCTCAGTGCAGAATCAACACTTAAAAATAAAGGTTCTTTATTGGCATCAATGGTTCTATGAAGAACCTCGAACATCCATGGAAACTTTCAAATGCAGAAAAGGTTCTTTATAGTCGAAAAAAGGTTATTTAGGTTTTTAAAATGTGACCATGGACCACAAAACCAGTCATAAGGGTCAATTTTCCGAAATTGAGATTTACACATCAACTGAAAGCTGAATAAATAAGCTTTCCATTGATGTATGGTTTGTTATGATAGGACAATATTTGGAGATACAACTATTTGAAAATCTGGAAACTGAGGGAGGAAAAAAATCTAAATATTGAGAAAATCATCTTTAAATTTGTCCAAATTAAGTTCTTAGCAATGCATATTACTAATCAAAAATTAAGTTTTAATATATTTACAGTAGGACATTTACAAAATATCTTCATGGAACATGATCTTTACTTAATATCCTAATGATTTTTGGCATAAAAGAAAAAATTTTGATCCATACAATGTATTTTTGGCTATTGCTACAAATATACCCCAGCGACTTAAGACTGGTTTTGTGCTCCATGGTCACAAATGTTCTTCAAAATGGTTCTTTTAGGAACTGTTCACTGAAAGGTTCTTTGGGGAACCGAATATGGTTCTTAATTATGGTGCATCACATCAAAAACACCCTTTTGGAACCTTTATTTTTAAGAGTGAACAGCACTAGTTAGTTCACTGTATTACTTGATCAGTTTGTAATGCTGAGGTTCCTGAGGATAATGACACATTACATTCAGAGCAGTTTGAACAGCACCTCGCCTCACTTCATTGTCATTGAGTGGCAGCAGATGGCGGTCTGCCAGGCATCCTACTGGCACAGAGCCCCCCTCATCACCATGACACCTGCTGAAATCTCATCTCTGCACTCTTCCGCTAGCCCGCGTACCCATTTTATTTCAGATGAGAGGAAGAGATGCATATCTCAGCAGGAGGTGGGGGTGAACAGGAAATAAGAAATCTGGAGGAAAGAGGGGCTTTCAGGAAAAATAACTGGCAGGGAGATGGAGGGCTTGCACTTCCCTTGTGCTCTCAATCAGCTCAGACAGACACTAATTAAATAAGGACCTCTATATTTCATCAGCTTCCACGTGCTGAGGTGTTCTTGTTGGTTTCGAGGGCATCTCTAAACAGTTGCTAGGGTCTCTGGGTGTTTGCTAGGTGGTTGAATAAACCTATCCCCAAGATATTCTGGTCCTAAATATGACTAATAATAAGCGTTTGTGATATGATGATATTAAATCGTGAATGATTAAACTGTCTCCACAAACTGACTTTACAGCTATGTTTTATGATAGTGCAGTGTCTGTTTTTGTATTATTATTGAAATAAAATTAAGTGAAATATGATTTTGGTCATATTACCCACCGTTTTATTTCTTCTTTTATATTTTGTTGTAGGGCTATATTTCCTTAAACATGGAAATTAGTTTTGTTGTGCTGCTCATTAACTTGCAAAAACCAACATCAAAAAGAATAGTGAACATAAATCGTGATCCTGTTTGAAAAAAAATAAATAAATTGTGGTGATATTTTTGCCATATTGCCCATCCCTAACTAAAAATACATTACATAAATGCAATAATTTGAATACACATTGTCTATGATGAGCTTGTTTTGATTTCAGAATATTTTCTGATATTTTTGGGGATTATAAAGCGATATAACTGTCTTGATGTCATAATGAAAAAGCTTCATTCACTGAATAAAATTCTTGAAAAGAAAGTAGAAGTTGGTCATTTTTTAAGAATATTATTTCTTTAAAATTATCTAGCCTAAACTGCTTCACTGTTTATTATGGAAGCCTATTTCTGCCACTGAATAAAAAATAAAACCGGGTAATTGCAGCTCTTTATCTCACAATGTAGACTTTTTTCCTCAGAATTGCAAGTTATAAAGTCAGAATTGCGTGATACGAATAAGCAATTTGCGAGAAATAAAGTCAGAATCGCGAGATATAAACTCACAATTCTGACTTTATTTTGAGTTTACATTCCAACTTTTTTTCTCAGAATTGCATGATATAAACTTGCAATTGCGAGTTGTAAAATCAGAATTGTGAGATAAACTCACAATTTTGACTTTTGTCTCGTAATTGAGTTTATATCTTGAAATTCAATTTTTCTGAGAATTCTGACTTTTTATCTCGCAATTCTGGCTTTTCTTAGAATTGTGAAATATAAACTCTCAACTGCGAGTTGTAAAGTCCAATTCTGAGGGAAAAAAAGAGACTATTTTTTTACAATTGCGAGTTTATATCTCGCAATTCTGGCTTTATTTCTCAGAATTGTATTGCAGTTCTGACTTTATAACACGCAGTGTTAGTGAGTTGTGTTGTGAGTTTTATCTCACAATTCTGAGAGAAATGTCAGAAGTGGGAGTTTATATCAAACAATTCTGACTTTATAACTCGTGATTCTGAGAAAATAAATCTGAACTGCAAGATGTCAACTCACGACTGCGAGAAAAAATGTCAGAATTTTGAGATAAAAGTAGCAATTATGTTGTTTTGTTTTTTATTTAGTGGCAGAAACAGGCTTACATAATTGATTAATAAACAGGCTTTTGTCATCTAGATCAAAGTGGTGTAACCAACATAACAGAACGTTAAAGGGGTCATATGATGCTATTTTAAAGATCATTATTTTGTGTATTTGGTGTAACAGAATATGTTGACATGC